TCCTGGGTCTCACACAGCAAGAGACAAAAACTGACTCCTACCTAACCCTGACTTGTCCACTGACCTCCACACATCCCCCATGGCACATATGTATGCATACACACACACACACACACACACACACACACACACACACACACACACACACACACACAGGCAGTTAAAAAAGAAATGTAAATGCCTGTCTAATCTGTAAGTTTGAAAGCAAATTTCCTTTCTTTCTTTTCTTTCTTTCTCTCTCTCTCTCTCTTTATTTATTTATTTATCTTTTTCCTGTGGCCAGAGGGTTTTGACAGTGGGACATTTGTAGTTAAACTATCATCGGTTGAGAAGTTTTTTCTTTACCAATAAGACTCGAGATGAATTGCTTATACTATCATTTCAAGTCAAGGATGTTTTATGCTTAAATTGATGCCAGAGTCACAAGAAATTGGATGATAAATTAATATGTGACACAGACAAAAATAAGGTCAAGTTTCTTTGTTATAAGAAAAAACCCACAATGCACTGTAATGGAAAATACTTAATTAGATCATTCATCCAGTCAATAGCTCGTTGTCCAGTGCCTCGTAGCTTAGGTACTGTCAAGGCAGGGTTTTCTTTCTTGTTCTTCTCTTCTCTCTCACTCCACTTTCTCTTCTCTCTTTGTGTCCACCGACATTTCTTTTCCTCCCCCAAAACTTCGTCAACAATGCTGTCACAGCCGTGATGCCCTCTGATTCTCCTGGTGATAGGGAGAAAGGAAGGCCTTCGTTTCCCAATGTCCTGGTCCTTCCTTCTCCCTGCTGGCTTTGGTTGTCTTCTGCACGGGACCTAGAGGAAGAACCAATCTGTGTGCAGGCTAAGCAGGAAGCTTTCATATACTATTCAGCTGTGTTGGGGAGCATGGGATCTTTGGGGTGTGTGATGAGGGGGACAGGTAACAGAGTTTTGAAACATCTAGACATTCTCCCGAGACCCCTGGTATGAATTTCAGACAGTGGTGTGAGGCAAGGACCCTCGCATTTATCCACTCAAGATGCCCCAACGTGGTTCCTGGTGTCATGGTGGCAGTATTAATAGAACACAGGCTTTCTAGCCCCAATAATGACCTATTAGAGCTTCAGGAAAAGCCGTCATATTTCTGTAGCATTTATCTGTCAGCAGGAGACTATTACAGAGCACAAACTCACATTGTATTAGTGTTATCAGTTCCTTATGATCCTTGGCACAAGTGCCAGCCAATGGACTGGCAGTCTGCTGGCCCCCACTGGGAGATATAACTCCGTACCCAGATTCAAGCATGTGAGAAGGCAGCAGATCTGCAGGGACGTTCCCCTGGCCTGGAGCCCATGACACACTGTCCTCAGAGATGCTCAGGTTAAGGTCACTGACTTGGTCGAGCCTGCCTTAGTTACTGTGGACTGTCAATGGATGCCATTCCAGGACCCACCTTCCCTAGTCCTCACTGTGAGCTGGAGCAGAATCAGGGTTGGCTTATGATCCAAACAACTCCATGGAGTCAGCTTCTTCTTCCTGGTCTGGTGGTAAGAAATGTATCTATCCTTTGGGTGTTTCCCCCATGGTCTTGTTCTCACCCACACCCTTGATTTCAGGAGCTGTGGGAATGGATGAGGGACAGAGACGGCATAACCAAACTATGAGCTCTCACATCCACTGGACTTAGTGACCAGAGGGTAGACTCTCTAACACTGCCTGGTGGGTCCTATTTAGTGATGAGGCCAGGGGTCAAGTCCTCTTGGGAGACTACCAGTTCGGTTGAGTTTCGCGGCTTGAGAGATACAAACAGCTTCCTCTTGTGGTTGGTCCTAGAGCATGTAGAAGGAGGAACTTATGGAACTCGAGAGGCATTTCTTAACTATCACCTTATTTGTGGGGAAAGACAAAATAACACTGGTGTGAGGAGTCTGTCCCAAGGGAGGGAGGATAAAATCAAGACCGGGTTCTGAAGGAGCAAAGGTTTAATTTGTACCAAACCACAGACAAGGATTGCCGGGCAGCTGCAAGGTGCTTCGAGGATGGCAGAAGACCCCGGTGCAGACGTTGTGACGACATTAAGGACCGAGGCCAGCTATGATGGAACCTAGCAGAGGGTGGCTTGGTGTGGATGGCCTGATTTGTGCTTTTTGTCCCAAGGGAAGCATGGGTCTTTGGAGCAGAGTAGACCATGTTGAATGACCATGGTTGTAGATATTCTGTCACCAGATCATGACTTAGGGCATGGCTTAGGTCATGAAATTGGCCCCCACCAACTAGCAATTCCTCTTGCCCTCCCAGGAGTCCATCAGGCGGTAAGAGGTGGACACAGATGTTCACATCCCCCGTGGACCTACGTATGGAATACATCCAGAGGCTCATGCTACTGATCCCCCATAGCCTCTGAAAGAACTTGCATTCAGGGAAGAAGGAGGCAGGGCAAGGAGAGAGGCTTGCCTGCGAACATTAAGGAGTGGTTCGAGCAGAAATTCAGACCTCGCCTGACATGCTTTGCCAGTCTTGGTTGTGTGACCTGGGGAAGGACATTTCAGCACACATAGAAATGTACGAATCTCTCCATTCATCAAACCTGATGAGAGCTCTAAATGCAGGTGCCACTTCTCGGCTCAGGATGGGGCTGCATCCCCAGCAACCTATCGTGAGTTGAAATGATCGTAGGTTGGAAGGGCATTGACTGTACGTACCCAGCCTAGTGAACTTGGTAGCCTGCCTACACAGCACACTGTGGCTGGCGCTCCTGTGAGTCGGGGCTGAGTGAAGGCTGTAGCTGTCGTGGCCTGGCACATCAAGGCAGTATGGCACACGTCTATAACCGAGGATTTTTTTTTTTTTTTTTTTTTTTGGTTTTTCGAGACAGGGTTTCTCTGTGCAGCTTTGCGCCTTTCCTGGTACTCGCTTTGGAGACCAGGCTGGCCTCGAACTCACAGAGATCCGCCTGGCTCTGCCTCCCGAGTGCTGGGATTAAAGGTGTGCGCCACCACCACCCGGCTATAACCGAGGATTTTTAAAGATGTTTTGTTGTGTGATCTCTGTCCATCAGCTGCTCTGCACCAGGTACTGCTGGGTACCAGATGCTGGGATGGATTCTCCAGTGAATAGCACAGACACCAGTCACTCCTCTTATGGGACTTCCAATCTAGCGAGGAGGGGCAGGACCTCACACCAGTATACATGTGACTGCTAACTGTGTTAAGCAACTTGAAACAGTGTGAATGGCTGAAGATTCGGGTGCTGTCTGGGAGGGAGAGAGGGGTCTTCTAGATGGCAGCTACAGTGATTGGGCTGTGGAGGGGGTACAGAGGGACCCACAGAATCCTGTCATGTGAAGATGTCCCTATTGGCCAAAGATCAGGCTTCATTCCTCATTGTAACAAGAGTCGTTAACTGTGTATTTTCAAACCACTGTCAAGCCTGTGTGTGCTTGGAGAACGGACTGGAGAGAGAAAGAATTCAGAGAAGCCGGGCACTGAGGCCTGCACAGAGATGGGGTCATATAGAAACCAAGGTCAAGGACAGCATCTCCGGATCTCTTTGTCTCTAATAAAATACCTATTTTTTTTTAAACAATGCAAGTATGCTGGGGGTCTGCTGATAGAGCAAACATCCCTATCCATTTCTTGATATCGCCCTATGCTTTCTTCCGCTTACTCACATGTGAACCCTATCAGTTGCCCTTCCCAGCCCTGACTAGTGCATTTAATCCAAGCCAAATACTACCCCTGAAGCCAGTGTCTATTCCCCAGACCCCCCCCCCCCCAGAGTGGCTGGCCCCTCCTTCGGCTTCCCCCACCTCCCTCCCTGCTTTATCCTAAAAACATGGCACCGCTTACAGGTACACTCCACTTATACATTATTTTGGTAATAAAATTATGTCTCCCCCCCCCAACATCACCGTTCATTGTCTTTTGTAGAATATGAGAGAATAAGGTGATAGTCTCTCCTGAGGGCCTTTTCTCCCCCGTTTAAATAATTCTGTATCCACACCAGCACACATACTCATTTGAGTCATCAAATTGATTATTATCCCTGTGGCAGGCACATCCCCAAAGACAAAAAGCCCCACAAGAAGAGTTGGGACTTGACTTATGGCTTATTTTGGTACGGTGGCAGCCCATAATATTCTGGTTCACGGAGGGAGAGGGAGACGGGGATGCAGGTGTGTTGATAGCTGGAAATTCAGGTGTGCAGTTCGAAAGTGTCAACTTGTGCCCCAGAGAAGCTGTGACAAGTAAGTTGGAGGTTTAAAAGGCACAACTGTGTTTTCCCAAGCAGACAGAGATTTACGCCCAGGGCCTGTGTCCTGGGGACACTATTGAGATTTGCCAATGGGCAAAGCCTGACTTTGTAGTCTAGAGGCATTTTGTGGATACACACCCTGCATCTAGCCGTTTGCCAGCGGTTCTGAGCAGACCCCAGGTGATAGGAGCAGGGAAGGGGATCTGTCTCCTCTGGCTGGCCGCACCACACCTGCTGGCCTGACTCTGGGCGTTTGCACACCTAATCACGAATTTCTAAGCCCCTGGCCGCTTCTCCACGGTGGCTGGTGATGATGCGGAATGTGACTAGTTTTTAATTTGGAGAACAAACCCATTCTGAGGGGCTGAGAAGGGGTTTGCCAAGCCTACTGGTTCCTGGGTGGGTGGGTGGGGGCGCGTATGTTAACACCCTCCCCCCAACAGTCCCACCAGGCAGTTGGACTGCCCCCCCCCCCGCGACCCCCCCCCCCCCCCCCCCCCCCCCCCCCCCCCCCCCCCCCCCCCCCCCCCCGCTTTTGAGCTGCATGAGCAAGCTTTAGGACTCTAAAAATCCAGCCTTCCTACTCCGCAGGAGATGGAGACCTTGCTTGTCCGCGGGAGTGTCCTATTCCATTTAAGTCTCCTGGGCTGGCCCCCCTCCCCCCCACCCCAGCTCGATCCTGTCACTTTAAGTCCAGCCCCTGAGAGATAGCCAATAGGAGCCAAATCATACATCAGTCTCCCAGCCTTAAAGCTACAGTAGGGTTAGTGGGCTCCAAGTGTCGGGCGCCCCAGCCTCCTCCTCCACGGCTTCGCGTCCCCTCTGTCCGTTCGCTGAGCGCGCGGATGAGTGGGAGCGCGGGGGCTGCGCGCGGCTCTCTGCCTCGGGCTCCCCCGCCGCGGCCGCGTCCCCCCCACTCCTCCTTCTCGCGCTCACCGTGCCCTGCCGGGACTCGCACCTCGCCGGTGCCCTTCACTCGTCTTCCTCGTGATTTCCCCCGCTGCCGGTCTCTTCCAACTGGGAATGCTAAAACGGGACTGATGGACGTGTCCGAACTCTGCATCCCGGACCCCCTCGGCTACCACAACCAGTAGGTGCCTCACTTTCCCGTCTGTCTGTCTGTCCGTCCGTCCGTCCGTCCGTCCTTCTGCCCATCCAAGTGTCTCTGTCCTGGATGTCGCAGTTCCTCTTCTACACATTCCTGAAGTGGCACGGACTTGGGGGTGGGAGGGCACTCGGGGACTTAGTAGAGGAGAAGCCACACACTTGCTGGGTTTCTCTCTCGGGCTTAAACCCTCCTCTTAACTTTTCCCGCATCCTCTTTCGTGAGCCCTCACTTTTAGACAACAGTGGCGCCTTCTCATTCACTCTGAATTTGCTCCACGGTGACAAAATATCTCCATTTCCGCGAGGGGAAGGCGGAAGCCCAGAACAGGTGCGGGAACGTGGCTGCAAGGGTGTTCTGTCCCGTCCTAGGAAGCCTCCCCGCGGGTGTTTTGATTTCCATCCTGGGTACCCAGAATGATTTCAGCCAGGGGCAGAACACCAAGCATGCTGGGTCCAGTCGGGAACTGCAGGCGGCCAGTGTCGCGCGGGCACCGGGGTCCCAGCGGGACGCGCTCACTCGGTGTGCGGGTCCCAGGAGCCCCTGGGGTTCGGCGGGGCCCGGAGCGCTGCGCTCCGCACGCCCTGCTTGGGGAGCCCGTGTCCCGCCGGGAGCCCGGGTGGCCCGCTGGGCGCTGAGGTGGAGGTGAAGTCAGTTGGAGGTTCTGGGCAGCGTGTCGGGCGCTATTTCCCCCGCCGCGGGCTGAGTAGCGCCAGAACGTGGGTGATGCGAGCGACGTGGGTGGCTGTGACTGCGGCTGCGGCGGCTGGGCGCGACTCTTGGTAGCTCCGGGGTCTTGGGAGAGTTTTCCCGAGCATCCTAGGTGGGAAGGAAAGAACGGACCCTAAACCGTGAGTGGCTGCCCCGCTGGTCCTGCCCGGGCTATGTCGGTTCAACCAAGGCCACCCGCGCTCTCCAAGGTGGCCGTGCCGCCTGCGCAAGCACCTGCTAGGGTCTCCCCTCTGGCGCTCCGTGTCCCACCGCGCTTGGATGGGACCCGGAGTGCTCGGACCCGTTGTGCGGGCCTGAAAATGGTCCTCCGCAGGCTTCATAATGAAGACAAAACGAATTAAATGAAAACTCTAGCTTCTCGCGGGCAGCTTTCCTAACTAACTTTGTGTTTTTTCCTCTACCCCCATCCTCCTTTTTCTTCTGAAAGAAACTTACCGAGTCAGGTTTTCTTCCCTACCACGGTCCTTTCCTTTACACACCACTGATCCTTTCCCTGCACCATCCCGCCAGAGAAGTGGGGAGACAGCTCTAAGATAAAGGCTGTGGACCACATCTGGTTCGGTGAAGTTTCGAACCCTCCACCTCACCTCGGAGACCACTCTACTTGCGGCAGGCAGGCACGAGGAGGCAACTTCGCAGCACCGCCGCCGTGTTGATAGCCAGGCTGTCCCGGGAACCCCCACACTGACCATTTTGCTCCTAGTTTTAGGATTTCCCCCAGGGCAAAGAGTCCTTTAGATACCTGCAGAATTTAAACTGGGGGTTAGAAGGAGATGTTGAGCTGGGAGAGGAAAGCGGATCCTTAATTATAATGGATTCTGATTTCCATCAGCTTGAAAAGTGGCTTTTCATTCTCTTTCAAGGTTATACTGCTCACAGCTCCTGGGGCTGCCGGGTGGGAGTGGAGGGTCTTGGCTTTCAGGCTCCTCCCCAAGGGATTATGAGAACCGGGAGAACCCCGGGGAAAGAATAGGTTGAGGGTATGGACAGTGTGATGCTTGTTGGGCATTTCCTCACATAAAATTACCAAGTACGACAAATATTGGATCTTTAAATTATTTAGGCTCCTTTTCTCCGGAGGTGACTTCTTCCCTTGAGCTGGAAATATCTCTGTGTTTGTCCCCGGGTCAAGTCATCATGAATCAATATGAAAATGTGTGTGCACGTATGTGGAGGGCCCAAATGTGTGCTTTGGTAGTGTTGACCAAGTGAGCCGGGACAGCTCCAGGGCGAAGAGCTGAGCTCTTCCCAGAACCGGCGGAGAGACTGATTTCAGTTTGGGGAGAAATGTGAACTAAGAGGAATGTCAGGGAGACAACAAACAGGACGATGGAGCCAAGGACTTGGCGGTCTGAGGAAGGTGTGAATCGGAAATCATTTATAAACTAAACATGGCAGTGGTGTGGATTCTCTCCCCTTTCTGGCTCTTTTCTTTCTTTCTTTTTCAAAATAGTAATAGCAATAACAATAGCTTCTCCATCCATGAGCCATACCAAAAGTCAAAGTATGCCTGCTGTTACTGAGGACTCAAACAGTCGTGAAATGCTGTCTTTTTTTTTTTTTTTTTTTTTTTAAACCGAGGACCTTCCAGGCAGCAGCCCCAAGCTATAACCAGCAGTTCACACACAGGTGTATGCAGAAGCTGGGGTTCGCATTTGCTCAAGGATGAGCCTGGCAAGGACCGAGGGTGGTGTTTGGAGGAGGCAGAAAGCTTTGGGGCCACCTCTAGCCAAGTAACAAGCCAGGGAGCTGCACACGTTGGTATGTTGGGAGAATGGCGGCCTGAGTGCATTTACCACTGGCTGGTGTTTCTCAGAGAACCTGAGGTGTGTGTGTGTGGGGGGTCATGTGCTCTCTACATATGGTCTTTACCCCCACGTGGTAATTGGCATTCCCAGACTTGAGAAAGCCCAAAGCCCAAGGGCACACACACACACACACACACACACACACACACACACACACACACAGGGTGTGTGAGTTTAGAGAGGGGGAAGCCTGAAGCTCTCCTCCTGCCTCCTAACACACAGAAGGCATGTGTCTCCCTCTCTCTGTCATCCTCACTGTCCCAGGTAAGAAATTAACACACACATGTGCACCTGCCTACCCTTCTGCCCTTCCTTTTCATTCTCCCATAGTCCATCCTGGAGGTGACTCCCTCACCCTTCCTAATCAGTGTTTTATGTACATGGAATGACCTGCCGGAGCCAGGGTGAATGTGCTCTCCCCCAGTGCCCTGTGTGTGAATGAGTCAATGACGCACTCGCTGGGGACCCCGAGGCACAAAACCCAATTGTGTGTCTGGGGTGGGGCGGGGGTGGGGTTGCCACCTTCCGAGGAGGAGGAGGAGGAGGAGGAGGAGGAGGAGGAGGAGGAGGAGGAGGACCACTATGTTGATGTGAAAGAAACAAAGAACAAACTGTCCCAAAGGTAAAATATGTGGGTTCACACGCAGGAAAAAAATGCCACATGGTAATTCAAAATCAGTGACCTGGAGAAAAACAAAGGGGGAAATTAATTTTTAATGGTACATTCAAAAATAAATCAGAGTGAAGGCATTAGTTGTGGTTTTCCAGGGGAGGGGCCCCAGAAAATAAACCTTTATCTGTCTGCCACTCCTCTGAAGGTATAGCTAGGTGGTAGAGGATGATAGGACAGCTAGACAGAGTTGTTCAGCCCCGGGGCAATAAATAGAAAAAACATTAGGTCGGTGTCACAGGGCCCAGTCAGTGCGAAGGCCTTTCCTGGTCCGTGACAGCCCGATATCCTTGGAAATTTCCTCTTGGAGCTGATTATTTTACCAATTCCTTTTCTTCAGAAACAATCCTCTATTTTGCCAATAAATTACAAAAAGACTTCTTTTTTCCTTTTATAAGAGCATACCCAAGAGAAACAACTTGATCCCCCAAACAGGAACATTTTCATTCTATTGATTGGGAGTAATCAATAAATATCCCATTTAGTCCAAGAGAAAAGGGACAGAGGGGACTTTGGGGGAAGGCAGTGTGTGTGGGAGGGGTAGGCGCTGTGATGGTGACTTGATGTTGCACTCGCCCTCTCAGAGTGCCCTCATACCTTTGTACTTCATTCTTCTTCCTGTAACTGGACATTTTGTCAAATGGTTTTTGAAGAGAGCTGAAAGTCATTGAAAAGTTTCTCTCCTTCCTTGGTCTTCCGCAGAATGCCTTGCTTCTTTGGAGCAGAGGTCTCTATGATTTCCAGGCTATGGTAGTGCCCAAGGATGTGGTGGGGGAAGCCTAGGGAGCAGGCAGGCTGCAGGAGGAGGGCGGGCGTTTGACAGACCAGAGGCAGGGTGCTATTGCCCTGGCCCCCTAGAACTTGGCTGCAGAATTTGTCATCTCAAGATGATTAAGCCATGGTCCAAATTTAAAGGAAAGAATGGTAGGTAGTTAGGCCATGATTTACCTTTTCAAATAAAGCCTGAGCCATACCCTGAATGCCCTAATCCTGATGCCCTCCCTTACCTGCCAGCTCTCATCAGGTCTACCGGCCTCTCTCAGCAGGAGACCCCTCAAAGCAGACCAGCCCTGGGGGACTGGGATGCTCACCTTAGATAGGAGCTCTGCTCAGCCTTAGCCAGCGCTGCTGGTGACCTCTGAGAATGTCTGTCTTGGATTCTGGTGACTCTTGACTCAGTGTTACTGCAATGTTCCAGCTTGGCTGGAATGCTTAGCTTCTAGTGTCCTTCTCAGTCTCCGTAGTCCTGCAGACACACACGGGGCGGGGAGGGGGCACGAGTGGGGCACGAGTGGGGCACGAGTGGGCTACAAGTGCAGGGTCTGCAGATTGCTCCTGGAAAGCTGGGAGGGTGGAGTTAAGGATGGGCTGGAGCCAAATCCGTCAGCCAGTTGGGAAGCATCCTGAACATTCTGCTTGTGTGCCCTTGAGACTCCCTGCTGCTTCTCGGGCTGAAGAAAAAAAAATTTTTTTTTGGTGGTATACATCCATGACCCCTGACAGAGCCGCCTTCACATGTGCCGAGTCTGCCGTCTCTATCCCAACACACTCATCCATCTCTGTGGAATGCTTGCTTGCGAAGAGGACCATTCCTTAGAGGTGGGGCCCACAGGCTTCAGCTGGCCCTAGTGTCTCCTGGTGGAACCACAGTGGCCTGGGGCCGGGTTACATCTGGTTGTCCCATTGGCCCAATGTGGTCTGGTCCCTGTGTAGGGAGGTTGTGGTGCTTATAATTGCAAATGTAATTAGCAGACCAGCCATGAGGGACTGGGATG